AGGACAAGCCTTGACCGCATCGCAATATAGCGATCTTACAGCCAGTTTCATTACGTCACCCATGTCGTCATGCATCGTGGGAACAGTACCCTTTCTGTACCCGCGGCAATTCCGCTGAGGGTCTGCGCGAACAGAGCACGTGGTGGACGAACTGTCTCGTGAACTGGCGACAGCCTCCTATGAACTACAGTTATGGCGGCATCCCGCATGCGTGGAACGCTATAGTGAAATCGGTCTGTTGCTGAATGCGAGTAAGCCGCCAAAGTGCTCGACGCCAGCAATTCAGGTATGCTGGTACGCGAGGCACTGCTCGGAGCCGTTTCGGGTGGCCCAGGTTTGATGCAGACATCAGAGCCACTGAAGCTGAGCGCGAGATTTGCCAACAATATCAATGATAATAGAAGACCAGTCAGGCGTTGATACATCTGCGATACATCAACGCCCGCCTCAACCATCGACTCATGAGGAAGCATCCACACCGACTTCGTCGGACCATCGTACGACCGTCGTCAACGTTTACTTACAGGCACAGCAGACGAACTTCGCGGTGTGCAGCTTTATCATCGTCACACGTTTCCGACATCTGCAGTGACAACAACTATTTTATATGACGAAGGGAAATTATTTAGCTTTTTTTTTTTAACAAAAATAAAAACACAGCAAGAACGCTATATTGTCAGAGATGGAAAATAGTACACCAATGTTAACCTGAAAACAAATGTTTAATGACGCGAGCTTGTGCCTACAAATTTCAACGGAAAATAGCTGTACATTGTGAGACGGCGACGAAAGAGCGATTGTCTCGAAGCAACGCGTTACCGCTGCTTTTGTACGTGTGGCATGTAACCACGTACACGGGCACTATGGCGATTTCACCATAGATTGCAAACCAGAACGAGAGCGAACATCAATTCTGCGTCAAAAGATAAAACAGAGACCTCTGAAATGATTCGGCAGGCTCGTGTCAAAAAGCAGCTAATATCGGGAAGTGTTTTAGGTGGCACTCGCACTTCAGGAACGGCAAAACATCGCTGGAAGACAAAGAGCGGTATGACGAAATTATCCGACCTCCCCTTCATTCCAGTGACGTTCTGCCATTCTTGATGCGCGAGTGCCACTCAAAACACCGCCCACATCACTGCTTTTAGGCATAAGCCTTTCTAAGTCATTCAAGAGGTCTGTTTTAGATTTGCCAAGTCTTACGTAAAATTGGTGTTCGCTCTCGCTTTGGTTTGCTGTCTGTGGAGAGATCGCCATTGTGCTCGTGCATGCGGTCAAACAAACTCGTATAGCGCAGTTTCAAACACTCACAGAGTGAGGCCCTTTGGCATAATGACGCAGGAAGGTCCCTGCCTTCGACTACTGCGTGCGCTTTATTGTGTTGCCCTCTTTCTGGTCGCATTTCGTACTCAATGTTTCAAATAAATCTGAAGAAACGGATTTCGGTTTCTCGTGTCTTCATGCTTCTAGCCATACCTACACCTACGACGATCAGTGACGCACCTTGTGCGGAAAGAACTTACAGCTATCTAGACTGGGGTTTCCAAACCAGAGACATCTCAGGATTACGGCCGAATGTATCGTGGGCAAAACGAAGAAAGATGTCAGGAACAAGAACATGCCCATCATGCACTCAACTGCGCAGTTGAGTGCAGGACAACCTTTTTTGTTCCGACGACACACCGACGTGTCATCTTTCAGGGAACAACGCTTGCCGAAGCAATGTACGGCCGACCAATAGCCCCTCGATCTTAGGGATCAGCTACAAGCAAAGAATGGGAAGCTTCGAGAGGCGAAGTGGCGGAATAACATTCGGCAGAATACTCCAACTACTTGAAAAACCAGCGGGACTGCGTCATGGTTACGGGTTATCCTGGGACCGATGCGCATTCGGTCATTTCCAACAGTGAGACGACAGAAAACGCCAACGCCGACGCTTGGACATATTTGACACCGACGACTCAGGAAAAGAGCCGTGAAGGTCGAAGAAAGGGAGCACCTCTCTTCATAATGAACCTAAACGCCCAAACACCAAGCTCACCAATAAAACGAAAACACAAGTGGGCGCAAGGCAAGACCGCCACCATGACAACAGCGGGGACGTCCACGCAGACCTCGTCTCAAACACTGGACGGTGCGGTGCGGTTGCAGGATCAAGCAGCCAGCACATTTTAAGATACCATGTGCTATTTGACCAAGGATGAGGAGACTGTTATGTATCCCATGGCAACGAGGACCAAGATTATTGACGTAAGCATCGAGCACGCGAGAACGAGCTGCGAGAATTCTATGTCAGCAGTGGCTAACTTCACTTTCAATCGTAAATAAACTAGAACACAAACGTAACATTAAAAAGAAAATCGAATAAATCGACATCTACCTGACAAATCGTTGGATCGGTAAAACTCGCCTCGGAGATGCGCATCATTAAATAGCCACGGTCCGCCCTCTCTCCCAAACCGGTCACACGCTCGGAGCGCCAAGATGCATCGGTCTATAGAGAAAACGTCTTGATCATAACTGCTCGTGGGAAAAGTAATTACGTCTATCGATTACTGCGCTTCAACTTAGGCAAATTATCGACTAGCATCGCATCAAGACGCACTCGACCCAGTTCAAAATAAAGCTCGGCAGCGCTAATTCTGGAATCGATTCGCGCACCTGCCGTCCGAAGCAAAGATATCGCCGCCCAATCAGCAAAAGGGAGCGTAAGGACGCGCAAAGGAGTGCAAAATATGAAAGATGGCATGGATCGATGATTCCTCCAGACCGTCATCTCGCTAACGTTTTCTCGAAGCGAAGCGCAATCAGTTGACCTTTCGGGTTGTATACGTCTAGACTCTCAGGCTCGACCGCATGGAAGGTTGTCAGGAACTCCCCCAGGCTTCGTGCTTAATTACATTATAAATGCTCACGGCAGAAAGAGATACCAGTGTGGGCACTCATATTCCCGCACTTTGATGGCCAAAAACAGACGGCCTAAAAAAAAAAAGAAAAGAAACGAGAGAAAAAAAAACGACCACCTTCAGCAAAACATGAGAGCCAAACCGAGGCTTCTATATTTTTAGAGTTCTTCCAGCTTCGAGTACATTCGTGATCTGCTAACTACTTTTGCGAATCGTTTCATAATCGTTTTTTTTTTTTCTACTTTTCCCGTAGTGATTGTGCCAGAAATTGAATTATTTGAAGGAAATCATTTTAAATAAACTTAGTAGTCATGCTTACTTTCAGGAGCCATCCCCGGAGGATCCATTACGACGGACATCGAACAAGGAGGCGGCAGCTCTTTTGCTAAGATTGGGGTTAAACTATTTGTAGTGCAGCAACTTTTCTCCGATCGTGTAGAAAGGCATGCAACAATACCAGGTGCAAGCCACAAAAATTTCGTAGAAATACCTCCTATAAAATCCGAGGTTAAACTGTCTGGCTTTACAGCCTATAAGTCCGCCAAGCTATGACGCTCACGACGCACTCAAATAATCAATAAATAGTTTTTTTGTCATTTAATTGGGTAGGAAGATACCCACAGAAATAGTGCACTAACTCATCACCTTGAACTAAGACGCATTGAAATCGGTATGGATTTTTTTTTTTTTTTTTTCAGTGACGCATTCAAGACCACACAGACCGCCAGGAAAACACCCGCTTTGCAGGGTCAACCCGATGTCGTGCTCTCGGTATCCACTCCAACTCTCTGCGGTACCTCCCTACAAACAACGTGGCATGTCGACATATGTCGACTCACCATCGGACACACGCGGTACCCAACAGATTGACCAAGTCCGTGAACACAGCCTGTCAACGGACCAACGGAAGTGGGAATCGACCCCAGGCAACAATGCTGGAAAGACGCGAGCCAAGGTCCACAAATATTTGAATTGCGTAGTACACTCCCGTTGAAGCGAGGTGTATACACGGTGTTCGATTAGCACTTGCATATGATAGGCAAACGGAACGGAATCGACTGACTTCCGGATTAAAAAGTGACCAATTTCCTACACTTTTTTTTTAATTATAGCCGAGGATAATTTCAGATTCTTCAATGGGCGGGAGGGAGGCACAACGCGGCGTACGGCATAAAACGAAAGGCGCTTCGGCAGGTGCAGAAAACGCGCGAGTCACGGCATCGTGACGGGGTCGGCCCTGACCGAGGGGAGTCCCACGCGCGATTACGGAAGCGGTTCTCGAACGAGCCGCGACGTCGACCAGCCGGACCCACCTAGAAGACAAGGCCTGCGCCTTTCCTGCCTAAACGTCATCACTTATAAGAGGACTCACACAGCGGCGCCTAGCTCGCGTCAGCGTCGCCGTCAGCGCGTCTGTCTCAGAACAAGCGTGACGCCAGCAAGCGCGACGGAAAGACTCACACGTCTGCGGCTTTGCGTCAAGCTTAGGCGCATCTGCCGCTTGGAGTGGGTCCCGGATCCACTAACCATGACGTCATGGGCAGGCCTCGTCTTTTAGGTGGCCCGACTGCTCGTGCGCCGAGAAACTGCAGCCCCGAAAGGAATGCTGGTCCGACACTGCGGACGCTGTTCCACTCGTGGGATATACGTATGTGGAAGGCGCGAACGCCTGGTCCGTGGGTCTTCGGATATTGCTCTTGGGCTTGCGCTAAAATAATTTGTAACAAAGTTATTCGCAGGGTTACACCTTTCGGAATGTAGCTTTTGATAGAGCTGCACGTAATTTGCAAGATGAAGCGAAAGGCGGTGTAAACGGGGCTGCGGGAGTGTCAAGCGGGTACTTTCAGAAACCGCAAAGATGCTTTCGCGAACGAACGAGTTCGCAGTTTCGGTTTTGTCCGAACAACAAAGCTCAGAATAGGGCGTAACATTGCTCCAACAGATGCCAATTGCCAAAACTTTCCTCTTTTTTTTTTTTTTTTTTTTTTTTTTTGGGGGGGGGGGGGGGGGGGGGGTTGTGTCAGACGATGGCGTTTCAAAAACAATGCCAGTATCAACCTTCGCAAGAGTGAAGTGCCTAGAAGCATGACGCACCTTTCGCGGCGCAACTGCTGCAGCAGGGAAGCGAGATGTCGCTCGGCCGTCGGCGAGCTTAGCCGGGGTGTGGGTCTCCGTTCGGCCCTGGGTTCACCCGAAACGCCCTTGAGGGGCACGGGGCTGGCTGCACCCGCCGCCGCTGCTGCTGCGAGGATGAAGAACACAAGGAGTCAAACAAGGCACAGAACGGTAAGGCGTTTAGGGAGGTCGGTCCGCCCGCCTTCTGTCACCGTACATGTTACAGAAAAAGCAAAATAGCATGTTCGAAGATCAAATAAAATCACGGTAAGTGGATACTTATACAGCTTGGGCTGTGTTCCAAATCTGACCCAAACGGATCCGACTTACTCCGGCGAGTCGTGTTACGTGACAACACAAATTGAAACACGTTGGACGCGAGCAGGTTTTAGAACGCCATGGTGCAAAACCCTTATCCTGGAGTAAGACCAAGTGAATTTTGTAACAAGGTGTAAAGTTGGGTGAGTTGGTTGATGGTCATATTGAATGGGTTAAAACAGCGCAAAAAAGACGAAGGACCAGTAAAAGGAAACACGCAGACACAGCGCTGACTTACAACTGAGTCAGTTGTAAGTCATCGCTGTGTCTAGGTGTTTCCTTTTACTGGTCCTTCGTCTTTTTTTTTTTTTTTTTTTTTTTTTTGCGCTGTTTTAGCCCATTCAATACGAATTTTGTAACACAGCTTCGAAGTGTACCGTGACATCTTGTGTCGCGTTGTAGTGTGTTATGAAACTGACGTTTGTCGCGTTTTCCGTCTTGCTTCTAGGTGGTTACACTTTGCTGCGATGAAGGCCAATCAACTCCCCTGTCTGTTTCTTTTAATCGGTGAAATGGAAGAGAAAGGTGAGACGAGGCAGCTACCACCTTGATTCTTAGAGAGACACACAGAAGAGAAAGAAAAACGGCAGACATATGCGTGTACTTGAACGAAGATCGCTTTACAATCAAGAGGCTATGAAGCCGGGCAACTTAGGAAAAGTGACGTTAGCTTTGTCGCAAAACAAAAAGCCGCGAGGGCGTCTATAAGAACACAAATAAAAAAAAAAAGTCGCGCGTTTTATTTTGTTTCTATTGCCCTTTTCCCAGATGCGCGATGTTTCCAGGTGTCGAAACCATGCAGGGTCTCGGACTGGACGCAGGTTCCGGATAATCGCCTTTCGCAACCCCGGCCGTGAGCAGCGCGTGCTCATATAAACGACGCGGGGGACGGTTGACATGGGAACGGATCGCCGCAGCGAAGCCTTCGGCGAGGAAACCGTCCAGGGCACGCCCAACGGGAGACATCAAGGTCGACGCCTTCTTGGCATTGCACGCCACGGATCCCGTATACCACTACGGGGCAGATGTGAAGGTTGACGTAGGCCGGGGGAGAGGCAAGAGCCGTGATCACGGCAGAATAGAGCATCACGTTATGATGAGCAAAGAGGCGTGATGGCGTACCCGAGATCGTCCAACGATAATGCGTTTGTTTTCACATCGGCTCAAGGAACTGAATGCATTCCCCCAAAACACCTGAACTGGCTTGCTGTACTTCCTTTTACCTTAAGTCTAGACGCAGCTGATGATACCAGTTGATGGGAACAATCAGAAAGCGTCAGAAAGGCCCCATCATGGTGTTCATCATGCGTGTTCTATCATCGCTGAACCAATCATAGACAAAAAAGGCCCAGTGACTTCCGCTTTTGACGCTGCTTAATAGGGCCCATTAGCTCGTAGCGTGCGTCAGCTGCGTCTGGACTCAAGGGATACTGAACCGAAATTTCGAGCTCACAAAACAAGGCTGGACGGATAGGCGGGACACTGCAAAACTCAAAAACATCACTCGTATACAACGATATGTCTAACGGATCGCCGTATTTTTGGAAAAGAAGTGCGCGATTGAACACGGCCGACGAGACGACAACTTACGTCACGATATTTATTCCCTCTCCTCCTCGCTACGTCCCGTCGAGCTGGTGAACCGAAGCTAGGAGGAGAGAACCGAGTCCGCTTCCCCTCATTCTCAAATTTTCCAGGAGGCCAGTGACGTCACAGCCCTGGCTTGATCGCGCCCTTTTCCAAAAGTACGGCCTTCCGTTTGAAATTTCGATGTATGAGTCATGTTTTGGAGTTCGTAGCGTCCCGTTCAACGCTTCTGCGGCCTTATTTTGCGTAATCCAAATTTCGGTTCAGTATTCCTTTAAGCTGAAGCGAAGTATAGAGACAGCGTCTAAGAAGCGCCTGAGACTGTGTGAAAGAAAGCCTCGCCACCAAAGGTAGCGCACGAGCGGAGTGGCACGTGAAGTCGAGTCTCCAGTGCTAGCGCGCCCCAGGCTTGGCAGGCTTTCTTTCACACGCGGTCTAATTCTAGCAAGAGCCGGCCCTGGAACTCCTCTTGGACCGCTGAAAATTGGGCGAATTGGTTATGCATAGTTACGAAGAGGGAAACAGCGCCCAAAAGACGAACATACATCGGACCATCGCCTAAGGGCACGTGTCACAGCTCTCCAAGAACTTGATTTCCTTATCAAAAAGCGCAATCGAGGGAGCACTGACGCACTCATCCTTATACTTCGAAATGTAATAGGCCTCGAATATTTCACGAGTCGCCTGCTGACTGTGCCGAGCAACAATCGTCGTCTTTTCCAAAAAAGGGGAGCACCCACATCTACCACAATGAATGGACAAATTATCCGAAGGTGGAGATCCCCATCGAAGTTCCGAGCCTCTGCCAGATTCCAATGTCGGTGGGTGATGCGAAGAGGGTCACCAAAATTCTACGATCAGAAGTCTGGAGACGTTCGAGACTACTGCAATATTCGCAAAAGGTACGGTGCTATTCCGTTACCAGTGACAACAGAGCCGCGTCTCGGTTGCTGGAGAAGTGCATACGAGAGGATGCGCAGAGTATACCGAGTTCCTGCGGCAACGTGTCAGAGTGTCGATTGTGGCTACGAAAGAAAAGAAGAATGGAATGGTCCGCAGGAACGTTGTGCTGTTGGGGGACGTGTTGAAGGTCCTGGAGAAAGGCCCCAAATTCACCACTGAAGCGGTGGTAAAGCCTCAAGAACTGTTGTCTATGGTTAGGAATGTTGCTTCCAAGGCGGGGGAGGTCGACAGAGACAGATGCATTTTGGAGAGAGTCGAATCCTTGCCCAGGGTGTCCAGTGCTCACAACAATACGTCTAATGTGGGTAAGGTTGTCTCTTACTGCTTGGAGAAAGAGTTAAAGCTAATGCTTACTGACAATGAAGGAGGTTTTGCCTTAGTGTCTGAAGGTGTCTTTTCAGAGAAAACGGGATTTTCGAAATGTAAGAACTTTAAAGTGGTTGAGAAAGTGAGTTTGCATAAAATTAAACAGAGGGCTATCCAGCTGTGTGAAGATCTGGGTCTTGACAGGGTTAGGGCCTCAGTCCAGAGGGAAAAGGGTCTCCACCTGACTTTGTTTTTTACGGTGAAGTCACACAAAGAGTCGATGCCATTTAGCACCATTGTGGCGTAAAAGGGTGCTTGGCAGATACATTGGGCATCTTTTTTGAAAAGGCACCTTACATCCTTTGAGCTACAAGACCCTTTTAGGGTGTGTAGTTCGATGAGTGTGGTCAGTTTTTCACTGCGGAAACCGCGGCTCATGTGACGCCGTGTCTTTTGACGTTGAAGATCTGTTTTATGCTATTGCGCACCAGGAGTTATCGGGGGCGGTCCAAGAATGTATTGAGTCATCTGTACGAGTGTCCTTCCAGAACGCCTGCGGTGCTAGCGTAGAAAATTTCCTGGAATTGTTGTGTTTTTATCTTAGGTCTGTGTATGTTGTGCATAATGACACACTGCTTTTGCAGAAGCAGGGTGTATGTATCGGGGCTAGCGTTGCTCCAGTTCTGAGTGACATATTTTTTTCTATGTGCGATAGAGCTAGCGAAGTCGGTCTAGGAAAAGAGGTGATTCGTGTTTTTAGATACGCCGACGATTATCTGGTTTTATTTAGGAGAGTATCTGGCGAAAGCAGACTTGTACCGTACGCATTACAAGTAATCAAATTACTTGTAATCGATTACTTTTTGGAGTAATTTTGTAATCAGTTGATTACTTTTATTAGGCAGTAATCACAAGAGTAATCTGATTACTTTTTGAAGTGATAAAATTACTTGTAACCGTTACAATTTGTTCACAGGACACCCCCCCCCCCCCCCCTGCACATGCCTCTTTTTTTATGAAATGACAAAATATAAAATTTGCTTTTTTTTTTTTTCAAACGGAAAAAAGAAAGATTTCTGCGGAGCTGTAGGAAACGAGGTAAATCTCTTTCTATGTACAGTTTCTGCAGAATGTCCGTTTTTCTTCTTTTTTTTTTTCGAGCTAGGACTGGGAGTGGCAAGCCCCAGGTAAGCCACAGTGCGTGACAAAGGCCATTCAGGGCGAAGTATAAGGAAGTAGAATGTAGCTTTGTGAGTCCTAGGGAGCCTTCATAAGCGTACATGAAGGCACCCTAGTGAGTCCTTCGTTCAAACTAGCCCCCTCACACACACACACACACACACACAGAAATAAAAAAAAAAATAAAGAAAATCCTGCTTAGGGTATCTAGTCGCAGCCCGTAGGAGAACCAGAACCGAAAAATGCCTAAAGCGGATGCAAAATATAACAAAGGTAGTTTAAATATTTCCCCATTGCCCCTACGTGGTCTTTGTAACAAGCAATGTTTCGTGCTGAGAAGTGGTCGGGGCGATCTCTTCCGCTATTGGATGCTAAACATGATCCGTTTCAAATCCTGGAGCTGTTGCTCTTTTGTATAACATGCGAGCTCATCCGCATGTGAATAATAAAATGAGCGACGCAAACTTTGAGCGACAACCCTTGCTCAAGCTTAACAAGATCTATAACCCCCTCCGCTCCCCCCCCCCCCCCCCCCACACACACACACACACACAAACTGGCGAACATCCATATCATTAAACGTCTTCAAACGAATTCTGTGCTTGTGTCCGCATTGTGAAGGTGCAACGACCACGAAGAGGGAGCCAGTTTTTCGTCTTCAATACTTGTGCAAATGTGAAATATAGGTTGGAAATAGTTCATTGTAATGAGCGCTCAAGATGTGTCTTCAAACAATAAAGTAATCGGAAAAGTAACGATTACTTCTTTAAGTAATGTCCAATTACTTTTGCCGTCGAGTAATCAAGTAATCTAATCGAATACATTTTAGCCAAGAGTAATAGTAATTGTAATCGATTACTTTTTTT